CGGAAATACGCCCCAGTAAAATTCGTGTAAAACGCCCCACCCAATGGTGTGAGTTTTAGTTAATTTAGGTACTTTTGGTTTACAGAATATGGGTAGAGTATATGTTCGCAAAACCACCCGTGCTTCATTTAGTGAAGAAGCATTGGCAGAGGCTATGCAAAAGGTAATTTCAAGAGAAATGGGCACAAATGAAGCAAGTAGAGCGTATGGGATTTCATCTCGTACTTTACGAAGGCATTTGATCGCCAAGTCTTCAAAAGTACGCTTAGGCCGTTGTCCAGAAATAGGAATAGAACACGAAAGAAGGCTGGTCTTACATATAAAGGCCCTTGAAAGAGTTGGCTTTGCACCAGATGCTACTTCTGTTAAAAAAATGGCATTTTCATTTGCAGAGAAGCTTCATTTAAATCACCGATTTTCCAGAGAAGCCAAATCAGCTGGGGATGATTGGTTTCAAGGGTTTTTGCGACGTAATAGAGAGCTTAGTATCAGAAAGTCAGAAGGGCTCTCACTAGCTAGGGCAACAGCAATGAACAGAACAGATGTTAGCAATTTTTTTACTCTTTTGCGCGATGTCATCATAAAAAATAACTTGCTTAATAAACCAGATAAAATATTCAATGTCGATGAGACAGGCATTCAGATTAACAACAAGCCTGGGAAAGTAGTAGCAACTAAAGGGACAAAAGATGTTTATTCATTGACAACATCAGAAAGAGGAGAAAATATTTCCTTAGTTTCATGCTGCAACGCAGAAGGTTACTTTTTGCCACCTGTTTTAATATTTAAAGGAAAGAACAAAAAAGATGAATTTTTGGATGGTCTTCCTCCCGGATCCGGTGTGCTAATGAATCCAAAATCATCCTACATTAATTCAGAATTATTCCTAAAATGGTTTAAAGATTACTTTTTGCCAAAAAAAGGCAATGGGAAAGCCTTATTAATATTGGACGGGCACGCATCCCATTGTAATGCTATTGAGCTATTAGATTTAGCTAATGAAAATGAAGTAGTTATTTTGTGTCTCCCCAGTCATACGACACAAGCTCTTCAACCCTTGGACAGGTCTTTTTTTAAGCCACTTAAAACTTATTTCTTTCAAGAAGCAAAAAACTGGATGATTCAAAATAAAAATAGAAAGCTATCCAGAATAAATATTTCGAGATTAATTGGGAATGCATGGGGAAAAGCGGCAACCGTCGCGAATGCCACATCTGGGTTCAGAGCTTGTGGTATTTATCCATACAATCCTCAGGCCATTCCAGAACATTTTTTCTCCATTTCGGACGCCAGTATCTCAGCCTCTAGCGCAAATAAAGCTCTTCCTTCAACATCAAATCATTCTAATTTAACTCCAGGGCCAAATAAAGCTCAACCTTCTACTTCCTTCTCTCCTGGACATACAAACATGGGTGTTTCTGATATGTCTACCGATTCTCAAACCTCCAACGAAGCCTCAGAAGTTTCATTAAATTTAGAAGAAAAAGAAACTCCTTCAAAATTTTTAAGAGAAGATAACCCAATTCCTCTAATACCTAATACAATTCCGAAAAGGAAACAACATGCTTTAGAACTGACGTCTCCTGAAAATCGGGTTAAAAGACTAGTATTCTCAGAGAAAAAAAAACAAGCTCAAGATAAAAAAGACAAACGAAAAAAGCCGAGCGAAAATGAGAAAAAAATTAGGAGGAAAGCCTGCGTTAAACAAGTTAAAAGAAAACAAAATGTATCAAGTTCGTCTTCGTCGGAAACTGAACCACATTTTAGCTCCTCTGAAGACTTATCTGATGACACTGATGATTACTGCCTTGAATGTCGCGAATACTACTACACCACCAAATCTAAGGTTGACTGGATTCAATGTGAAGCATGTAGTAAATGGTTACATGAAACCTGCACGAACCACACAAACATGTGTAATCTTTGTGCCACGAAGAAACGTTAATTTTCTACTAGGGGCGTATTTCACAAGTTTCGGGCAAATAGCAAATACGCCCCAAATGCTTTTTTTTTTAAGTTTGGTTGTTTGTAACTTTTCTTAACCTTAGTGAGAAATTATGTTTATATTAGAGAAAAACGATGTTTAGTTGCTTTGTTTTTGCATTAATGAATTAAAAAATTGGTTTATTATGTTGGTGATTTCCATTTTCCAAAATGTGGGGCGTATTTCACCGGTCTACCCTAAATGCGTCTGTTCCGTTTTCGATGCGCCACCCTGTATATAGATTTCAATGACGAGTACACCGTATGTGAATCGGATAACATCATATAGTGATGAGTGAACTACTAAAATGAGCAGATGTACTCTTGAAATTTAGAATGGCTCATTAATAATAATAAAAAATCGTTTATCCAAAATAATAATGCACGATTACTGTATATTACATACTGTTACAGCGTCATCGAGATAGGAAAACAAACAAGTGAAACCAACCAAAAAACAAAAAGACAAACATATAACATATAGATTTTACATTTCAAAATATGCTTGAAGGTCTATGTGCATTAACAATTATTGAATACTTTTTTTAGCCATGGCTGGAGGTTTTCAAATGAACGCCTTGTATCTCATTACATACGAAAGATTTATATTTCTAATTCTTGTGGTATAGTCACTTCTTGGGCTACCGATAAAATTGTCAACATTTATAAATGTAGGAACTAGTATCTCTTGAATATATTTGTGACTATATTTAAAATTTTATTACTCTCAAATTTCCCCCTGCAAGTATCTCTAGAGGAATTTGTCTGCACTAGACAGATCCTATTGCTATGGCTACCGTGTCTGAAAAAAATTATGCCAAAGCGTGCAATGAACTCAAAATTCGCGTAAAATACAATTTTTAGTGTCTTAATGTCTGGGTATTTACTTAGTACTCTACTGCTATAGCACGCGTTTTTCAAGCTTTTTTTTATTGATATTCTATATGTTTAGCCCAGGAAGGTGCTTGGTCAATATAAACTGCCAAGGATTTTCCACAGTCTGTCAGCGGACCTTCTATTCCTTTGGCCAAAGGGATGTTTGTAGCTTCGATTTTGTTTTTGCTAGCTTAAAAATCATCGTATTTGCTTATGCACATACCACAAAAACGCTTTCTCGTAGAAGCTCAAAGACCTTCCAGCTAAACGGTTGAAATCTTGGCCAGATACCAGTATACTAGTGTCATTATCGTATTGGATCGAGAATACTTACATCAATAGAGCTTGTGATACTAGCACTCAGATCGTTTGCAGAAATTAAAAAGAAGAGACGTCCTAAGACGCTACATTATGGACTACTTCTTCCTACCTTTAACTGTGTTAAAGCAGCTGATATTCCATTCTTTGTAATGGAAACTCTTTCCTTACGATCTGTCAGGTAAGACTTAATCCAGCTGCAAGCACCTCCCCTTAATATGGTACTTCTAATTTCAAGAGCACTCAATACGCACGACTATCATTTTGCTTTATACCCCATGAATGTTAGTTTTAACAACAGCATGATTATGCAAGTGATTACAGCTTAAAATAACATAAAATCTCAATTATATTTTATAATAGTTGACAAGATAGCCGTTTCCTCAATGGACCTAAGCTCCGCCTAATCCTGCTTCTTTAAATGCTCAACATTTCTGTTCAGAACCGTTCGCAGTAATATCGAGACGTCCCTGGTGTAGACCGCGTATAAATTCCACAAATGGTCAGTGTACATATACAGTAGCATTCTTGAAATCCAATAAATACTCGAACCGTACATGAATTTTTCATGCGCACACAATTCGTAATAAAATTATCCTCATAACTTCGCTTCAGGCAGCTGGAACGCTTGAGGTGCGGCATTATGAATTCTTCTCGTCCCTGCGATTACTTATCTGCACACGGTTGATGATAGATTTCTTCAACGTTCCCAAATTACGTCTGCACCGCAATAGGCGAGACGTTATTGTAATATTTTTATGTTTTCTTGTACTGTAAACATCTTAAAATGTTCTAACTGTATGAACTATAACGTTAAGCATAATAAGAATAATGATGTTGGTCACTCGCCCACAGACAAAAAATGTCCGTCGTATTTATATTTTCAAAAACAGTATTCATCCAGAATAATGTTTTGAGCGTTTAGTTCTTTTTACGTTTTTCAATCTGATATCATTTGCAAAATCTTACATGGATAGTTACGTAAATAATTTTCAGGTTAATGATATCAATACAAATATTGCTCAGGACGCAAATGCTCTTAATAAATGGTTAGAATATTCTAATTTCAATGTTAGCTTATATCACATGAATATACGAAGCCTAAACCAAAATTTTGACTGTTTTAATATCTTCCTAACTACAATTAAACACAAATTTGATATAATAATATTAACAGAAACTTGGAAAATTAATGATGTATCTTTGTTCTGTTTGGAAGGTTATGATACGCTTTACAATAATGGTACGTACAACCAGAATGATGGGGTGGTAGTACTATATATGTAAGAAATGATATCAACTACAGATGTGATTTTGTTAAATGTGATGACGGTATCACAGTGTTGGATTTGATATTGAGAATTAATAACAAAAGTGTAAAAGTCACATCTGTCTATCGACCACCATCATCAACCCTTATACATTTGTAGAAAATCTTGAAAAATTTTTGTTAGATAACAAAAATGCCATACAGTCACACCACATCATAATAGGAGATATGAATATTAACCCTCCACTGGTAACGTACGGTCCCTGAGACCGATGGAAGAGAATTCTCACGCTAAAAAACAAACGCGGAGTGTTTGGCAACTGCGCTTCCTAGTACCTTTCGACAATAGTGTTATCTAGTTAGTCACAAACGGCAAGTGCTGGTGTACAGGTCGTTGTAGAGATATACGAAAACGCGGTTCGAGCGACCAACGTTACCTTTTGTGTAACATATTGAGACAGGGACAGCCGAGTGCTTTATAAATTAGACGTCAATTATTTTTTGTTTCATTATATTTTACTGATGTATTATATTTTAGGCAATTTTCACGAAAATGGCTTGTTCTTACGAAAAAAAACAAGAAAGGTTACTACGCCTATTTGAGGAAGTTCCAACTCCTTCCGCATCCGAGGTAGAAGATAATGATCAAAGTCTACAAGGTGATAATTTAGAAACACTAGAGTATGACACAAAGTCTAAAGAGGATATTCCAGTCACTGACGATGTCCAAGATCATGTTACCGCACAACCAGCAACACGGGTGCCTTGCCTTATTGGAAAAGATGGTACGAGATGGAAGAAACATCTTGGATTGAAGCGTAACATTCGAACTCGGCAAGAAAACCTCTACACACAATTACCAGGTCCCCGAGGCGAAGTACGGAAAAAACATACCTTCAAAGAAATTTGGGAATGTTTTTTCACCACGAAAAAGATAGTAGAGTATACCAATATTTTTATTGCTATGCAGTCAGCCAGTAGACATCTTTGAACTGAAAGCTCTGCTAGGCATGCTATATATATCTCATCTCAAAAACCATCAGAATGCAGAAGATCTGTTCAGAACAGATGGTAGATCAATAGAAATATATAGACTCACGATGGCGATGAGAAGGTTTCAATTTCTCCTCAGGCACATTCGTTTTGACGACAAAAATACACGAGTGCAAAGACAAAATATTGACAAGTTGGCTCCAATACGTGAGATTTTTGACACATTCAACTCCAATATCTCTAAGCATTACAGCCATTCAGCGTACACTACTGTCGATGAAAAATTAGAAGCCTTTCGGGGTAGGTGCTCGTTTAGAGTATACATGCCAAATAAGCCCAATCAATACGGCATAAAAATAAATGCATTAGCAGATGCTAAAATGTTCTACACATCTAAGATGGAGCTTTAGGTTGGAAAACAACCTGAAGGGCCATTTCGTGTAGATACCTCAAATATTGCATTGGTACCTCGGCTTACTGAACCCATTTGAGGAACAGGAAGGAACGTCACAATGGACAACTTTTTTACAAGCATGAACCTTACTGAGCTGCTTTTACGGGAACATCGTATCACTGTAATTGGAACGCTAAGGAGAAATAAACCGCAAATATCACCAATTATGACAACCGTTAGAAGGCCGGAAAAAACCAGTATGTTTGCTTTCCGGGAAAACTCTACCATAGTTTCGTATATACCTAGAAAAAATAAAAACGTTTTAGTTCTCTCATCTGTGCATCATGACGATAATATTGATGCGACTACAAGAAAGCCAGAAATAATTATTGACTACAATCAAACAAAAGGAGGAGTCGATGTTGTAGACAAACTGTGTGCAGCATACAACTGTGCGCGAGCAACTCGGCGCTGGCCCATGGTAATCTTTTACAGCTGTCTGAATGTAGCGGGAATAAATTCCTACATAATTTACAAATCAAATACACAGAAAAAAATACCCAGAAAAAATTATTTGGAAAATTTGGGATTTGAACATAATGTAAGAAGATCTCCGAATTTTATGGAGGGAATGTAGAGAACTTACCCACCCAGAACGCGATCCACGGGCGATGTGCGTTTTGTAGTAGTAGGAAAAACAGAAAAACTAGGTTCGTTTGTGCACAATGCAAAAAATACATGTGCCTAGAACACCTGACTGGGCTATGTAATGACTGCTACGCAGGAAAAACTGACGAATAAAGTTCCAGCCTGTCCAAATAATTTTTACTTCAATTTTGCTCTAACATGTACTACTTGAATATTGTCTTTATGTTACATCTATTAGAAATGTAAATCACGGTTTATTTTTTTTTTGTTTTTTGAAAAATATGAAGTGCTGCCAAAAATTGTAATATATTTTCCAGTCTTATTTTTGTCCTCCTTCAAATTATAAATTTCACCATATATCAATAAATATTATCCTACAATAGTGTTCAATTTACTCTCAAATCAAAATTATTCCATACCAACTACTATACTCTTCTAGAAGGCTACAGATATAGAAGGGTCTCACAGAACGATGTTACCAGTTGTGCCAAGTTTCGTGACGTTACCAGTTGAGGGTTAATATACTCCAACATACCAAATTAGTAAACAAATACCTCACTGTAACGCAGAGCAATGGATTCATATCAAATATAAATTTACCAACAAGAGTGGTCAATAATAGTTCCAGTTCTTGCATTGATCATTGTTTCATCAAAAATTTTTCAAATTTCTTTCGGTACATACCGTTAATTGTTGAAAACCATATTACCGATCATTTATCCACTGTAATACTTATATCATCAACAGAAAAAAATAAAAGTAGATCCATCTCCAATAATGAAACAGTGAAATTTAGGTGTTTTATCGATAATAAAGAACTACTTGCAAATATCAAATTAGAATCGTGGACAGCAGTGTACTGTGCAACGAATGTTAATGATGCTGCAAACACACTCATTGAACGCATAAAATATTTAATTGAATGTAGTTCAAACAGTTAAAATTAAACATTTTGACAGAAGCAGGAATCCCTGGATAACTAAAGGTTTGATAAAGTCTGCCAACAAAAAAGAGGAACTATACAAAATAATGAAAGTATCGCCATGTGCAGATACCTCCCATAAATATAAAGAATATAAAAATATTTTTATCAATCTAGTTAGAGAAGCAAAACGCCAATTCTATCTAAAAAAATTACAAGATGCCAAATCTGATCCAAGAAAACTGTGGTCAGTTGTCGATCACTTAACTAACAAAGACGTTCAAGAGAAGCCAAATATTGATAAAATTAAGAATCGTGATGGAACAATATTAACAGATAAACGACAAATATCCGATGCATTCTTAAATTTTTTCACTAATGTTGGAGAAAATTTAGCATCCAGGATTAAAAAAATGGTTTCGAACGAAAAGTTCACAAAAACCCAAGTTCCCAATTCATTCTTTTTAGAAAGCGTTAGTCCGATTGAAGTACAAGAAGCTGTCCTATCACTTAAAACCAAAAAAAGTCCTGGTGTAGATGGTATCAAAGCTGACCATTTAAAAATGATAGGCTACGACTTAGCCGAACCACTTTCTTACGTCATTAATTGGTGTTTCCAATCTGGAATTTGTCCTGATGCATTTAAAACAACTGTTATTACTCCTGTTTATAAAAGCGGTGACAGAATGGAAACATCAAATTATAGACTCATATCACTACTATCGAATATAGCAAAAATTTTCGAAAAATTACTACAAAAAAGGATATTACAGTTTTTGGACAAAAACAAAATTATATGTTCTGACCAATATGGATTTAGAAAAGGAAAATCTACTACAGATGCAATTTGGATGCAATGGATGAAATTAACTCTAATGTCAACAAAAAGATACCTACTATTGGTATCTTTGTTGATCTAAAAAATGCATTTGATACGGTTAACCATATCGAGCTTCTGAAAGTTATAAAGATTGGGATTTAGGGGAGCGTCACAAATCCTTTTAAAAAATTACCTTTCAAGTCGGGCACAGACTGTCAAAATCACTAACACTTACAGTGAACAAATGTACATCAAGTGTGGTATGCCTCAAGGAACAGTACTAGGCCCACTATTATTTAGTCTCTACTTAAATGACTTATTCAAAATTAACAGTTCTGGAAAGATTATATGTTTTGCAGATGACACCCTCGTATTATATAAAGCTGATGACTGGAGCACACTGAAGCAAATAGCTGAAAAGGATTTTATAAGGATCATTGACTGGTTTGATACTAAAATTTTAACAGTTAACTTCAAAAAACAAAATTTATTGCATTTACATCCTATTCAAAATTTTTACCTACCTTCGAACAAATTTCCGTTAATTATCATGGCCAAAAGACCAAAATCGATAGGGTTAACACTTTGAAATATCTTGGAATATTTATAGACTCACATCTAAGGTGTGATAACCATATTAAATATGTTATCAAAAAAATTAGAAATGTTGCCTATAAACTCAAAATGCTTGCTAACATTCTTACAGAAAGTTATCTGCGAATCCTATACCATCCCTTAGTTGAAACCCATATAATATACGGCATCACAGCCTGGGGTGCCGCCTGCAAGACATATATTTCTGACCTGATTATAGCACAAAAAAACTGTTTTGAAAGCCATTTTCCATAAGCCAAGATTATATCCAACGAACAACTTATATCAACAATATCAAGAATATCAAGAAACAGGGATACTTGATACAAGACAACTTTATTTCTTACATGCCACCACCTTATACCATAAGTATTGTAATAAAAAGAAAAAATCCAATAAACACGAGCATAACACACGATTTCGACTAGGCTCATCTAGTATCCAAAGACCACACAAAACATTATTCAAAAAATCATTTAAATTCTTAGCAGCTAAATTAGTAGTACCAAACGAAATAAAGATACTTAATTTTGGAAAAAAATTTAGAAGAAAATTGAAAGACTGGGTTAGTAATTTGCAGCGAATGACTATACATAATTATATAGAAAACTAAAACTACAAAATTCCAATTACATTAATACCTTTTAGATTTAACAATAATTGTTATACACATATATGATTGATTATTAGTTATTAAGATATAAACCACACACAGGCGATGCCTTCTGTGGTTTTTTCATATTTATTTTCCCATTTTTTGTATTTTGGCGAATAAATATTATTATTATTATTATTATTATTATTATTATTATTATTATTATTATTATTATTTGTATTATACCGAAGCAGCCGCGTAGGCAGAAGCGTAAAGTCCAGTGCACCGCGACTGCTAAGACCAGCTTAAAGAAGCTTTGCTAATACAAACTGGGAAGAGCCTCCTCAGGTGGACTGTTCCACAGTCTTTATACCCTAGGAACAAAGGAGCGGTCGTATATGACTAGATCGCTGATGTGCTATCGGTGCGAAAGGGTCCCGTTACAGAAGAACCAAAAATCAGTCCAACAGCATCGATCAAGGATAATGTAGTCGGAGTAGCAGCAACCAAACATGTGATCAATTTCTGAGGCTAGGTCTAATCTAGGCCTTGTGTAGAATGAGTAGGTCATTATATACAAAACTACTTCTTTTCCTAAGGAAAAAGCCTAGCTTTTCACCAGCAGTTGCCGCTGTTGACAAGATATGTTCGTGCCAGATCAAGTCCTCTGCAGATCTGAACTCCGAAATGAAGTCGCCAATCCATCGAAACCGGATGAGTTATAGTGCTCGTCTTGTTACTTTCTTGGTAAATTGACCTGGAACCGACGTTACAGAGCTTTCGTATGCATTGAGCTTTACGTCATCTAAACAGTATATCCTATTTTATACGTAAGCCTCTAGAAAGGCGCCAAATCAGTACCGAAAATGATATAAGGGAGCCCACGCGGACTCTGCTGCATATATTCTGGCTACAGAAATTTACATCCACCGCAAGTTTACTACCTACAGGGAAAGTCACAACACCGGTACGAAGCACAGTCCACTGTGTTAGCGAGTTAGTAATAGAAATGACGGTGGTGGTAA